TAATTTTGACTCGGGACGTTATACAGTATTAATGCCGTATTTTTCAGCATTTTTTCGGTTGTTTTGATCAGTTTTTTCATCGAAATATTACGGAACATTTACCGTAAAAATGCGAAATATTTACGCTAAAAATGCGGCATATTTATTGTAATAAGGCGGTAAAATGACTGTATCAAAACCATCTTTAAAAAATGGTGTAAAATTAAACAAAGCTCAGACTGGGATTCGAACTCAGAACCTCCCGAGGACAAGTCGGCTACTCTACCATTTGAGCTACCCAGCCTGTACCATATTTTTTTTTGAAGTTATACTTCTTTTGGCGCGATGCAGAAAAATGATGCGAGTGAATTTTTACGATGCGTGCGCACACGGACACCTAAATTCTACATCGTAAAGTTAGTTCTAGGTGGTATGAAAATTGATAACTATGTTCAAGTTATATATTCTAGTATTTTTATATTTAAAACACGTGTTTCGTAACAGTACAATTAAACAGCGTGAATAAATATTATTTTGGTGTTTATTGATTTTATTTTTAATAATTTAATTAGAACAAAAAAATATTTTCAAAAAATTGCACTTACAGTTTTTGAAGTTTTTTTACAAGTGAAATTTTTTTTTTTTATTTTTTTGTAATTTTTTCATTTTTTCAATAAAAAAAATTCTGAAAATTTTTATATGTCAGCTAACTTAATTTTCATAATAATTAAAATATTTTATAACGATCGATTGTAAACTATTGATACTTTGCGGCTTCAAAATTAATTGATTTAGAAAAATCTTAAATAATATTGAATTAAATTCATATGATAATTAATTATTTTATATTTATACGGTATAGCTAAATTTTTACTATAATAAAACCTACTTGAATTTTTTTAACATTTTTCTTCGATCATTTTTGCATCTTTTTTCTTTAAAATATTTTTTATTATGTGCCAAAGAAGTATAACTTCTAACACGTGTACATACCCTGAATAAAAAAAAGTATTGAGACAAAGAAAAAAGTATTGAAAAATATTGGATTGACTAAAAAACCAATTCTTTTCAATATTTTTCTCTTTGTCTCAATACTTTTTTTTAATCAGGGTAAGTACACACACCATTTTTGCTTATTCTATGTACATTAAGCCATACCGTCCATCTTACGATAAGCATATTTAAAATTAAATAATATAGTTATACATGTGAAACAATGTAACTTTTCGATTTTAAAATTTGCAATTTTCTAAGTGAGAAATTAAAAATTGAAATTGAAATTAGAATATATTTACTTAACATATGTATTTTTTAATATTCATTACCGCTAAATACCTAATTAAAAAATAATATTCTACATAGTATTTATTCAAAAACAGTATTTGTTTTTGCAAGGTAGCGATGGAGAATAAAAAGTAAAATTGGAAATTTTTCATTTTATTCATTTCTAACATAGAAGTGAACTAAAAATAAAACCAAATTTTTAATAATTTTCCATTATGTCAGAAAATATTCGGCAAAATTACTGTATTATTACGGTAATTATTTGGAATTTTTTGGCTAAAATTTGGGCATTAATGCGGTAATTGTATAGTATATTTTTGGTAACTGTACAGCATAAGTGCAGTATATATACTGGATATTTACAGTATAAAAACAGGCCAAAACAACTATAGTTTAACCGCATTATTACGGTAAATATACGGAATGAGCATAAATCCCGAAAAATTACGGTATTTTCACGGCATTCTTAAAACCGCGAGGGTAGTATTTAATAGTGTGTGTCTAAGCTCCTTATAACATTTGAACGGCTTAACCGATCGAACCGCGATTCACGGTATTCGGAAGAGTTGAATTGCCATTAGATTTCGTGTGAATTTAAATCAATTCAGTTTTGTAGATTTTGAGAAATCTGAAAAATAAAATTTTTAAAAAAAAGATCTTTTTGCAATAACTTTCAAACGAGTATCGACCGATTCCAAAATCTAATCAGCTCTCAAATGCAAAAGACAACATTAATGCCGCTTACTGCATCAAAATCGAGTTATTTGTTTAGGAGATATTTAATTTTGAAAAAATAAAAAAAGCGTGGTTTTTAATATCACTTTTAAATTCTTCATCACAGAAAAAAAGTAATGTAAAAACCGTATCAGGTGACACAAAAACTGTACTACTGGTGATGCTAACTAAGGTAATTTTGAAGTTAGATCACATAGTGATGAAAAATCTGTGTCTAATGCATTTTCAAATAGAATTTATTTAATGGCTTCTTTGCTCTAGCCTTGGTTACAATAGACAGTAAATACGCGTAGATGTTTCTTCTGTACTTATTTTTATTTTAAGAATAATTATGAAAAATATATATGCACACAATGTGAATACAACCGTTACTTGGATTGAAAAGTACAGTGGGTTTGCGCCAAGCGCTAAAAAGTGATTTGAAATTCTCACCAGAGTGATAAAATTTTTGTATCACCTGTGATTGTAAAATTAAGGAAATCTTGCCATGCAATTTTAGAATCATTTGTGGTGTACTTTTTAAACCAATAATTTTTTCCATGATCAGATCGGATTAATTTTCGAGGATTTTAGTAAAACTTTCTTAACCGCGCTAAATGCCGCCAAGCATTCTAAAATCGGTTGATAAGTCCGATAGTTATTGCTATATAACTATGCTATACTATAACTAGACTTTTAAACTGGAAGAGCTCAAAAGTGTATAACAGTTCTATCTTGAAGCTAAGAGCTCAAAACAGTTATAAACTCATATTTTTGAACTTGCAGAGCTCAGAAATGTTGCAATAGGAGTAATTTATAGCGCTTTGCATTTGAAATTAGCGATAAGTTGCAGGGATGGCCTATAGGGACATCTGTTTTACTAATTTTTTTTTTCAAGTCAAAATTAATAAGATGAAATTTGGAACAATTACTTGACGTAATAAACATTTCCATCCGCAGTAGCTCGTTCTTCCCATCCAGGCGGTAATTCATCTTCACTATCAGAATCGTTCAATACACTTGCCATCGTGATCTACAATAATTAATTATTGAAAAAATATTTCAACCCAAACAAAATATATGCTTCAAAAGTTACTTACCGATTAAGCAGAATATTTAGTTCATAAATAAACTTGTTATATAAATAAAATTTCTTAAGATTTTGATGAGGTATATCGCAATTGTTAAATTCTTGTATACAGAAGCCAACGTTTTTTTTTGGTACAAATCATGTTGATTGATGTTGTACTGGAAAATAGATTATGCTAAATCAATGTGGCGAATCATTAGTAAACATATAATAATATATGGGGTATTCCATGCCAAATCGACCACTTTTGAACTCGACCCCTTTAGATTTAGCTGACTTTATCATTCTTTTCTACCCTTTTAAAAATATTTTTGAGAATTTTTTCAAATTTTTTTGTCCAACCCAAAAAGTTTCGATTTAAAAAAAAAATGGCATTTTTAGTCCCTGTTTAAAAATATTAATTGAAAAGAATTGAAAATGATGAAATTTGAATTCTTTTTAATAATTTCAATTCTTTTGTTTGTATATATAGATATACAGTTTGCATGGAGTGACCGCTTTTCAATTCTTTTCAATTATTATTTTTAATCAGGGGTTTCAAATAGCCATAACTTTTTTTGATATTGACCTTTGAGTATCTTTTTCTTTTTTTAATTTTTGTTTTTGAATGAACTTTTCAAAAAAATACACAAAAAAAATTAAATATGATCAATTATATAAAATAATCGGTTTTTTTGAGCAAAATCGTTATTTTTTCAAAGTTGGTCACTTTTTTTTTTTGACGTGATAACGTCTTATAAATTGATGAACACCGACAGCGCTTACGAAAAAATGTCGCGTTCCGCTTGAGCGTTCCGTCTGACCCGGGAAAAAATGATCAGATATGAACAGGCATGAGTCTTCAGGTCTGATCAGACATGAAAAATGACCGGGTCTGATCAGACCTGGCCAGGCATGTTCATGTCTGATCAGATCTGTTCATGCCTGACCCACCAAAATTTCAGATCAATTCACCACACCGTTTTTGAGAAATTAATTTTCGAAATTGCATCTTTTACACGTAGTGGTATAGGGAGATGGTAAAGTTAGTATGAAATCTATTGCACCACTCGAGTAGTAGGATTAGGATGAGCTTATATCTTGAAAAATGTCAGTAACTAAGAAATGATGTTTTATTTTGTCTACTGATATTTATAACGGTACACGCTCATCCTGAAGTTACACTTATCGAGACCTTGCATTTGAAAACCTACACGAATTTTTTATATATTTTATATATTTCACAAATATATATGTATGCATAAAATTTAGAGCCGACGCTATTTTTCGGTATAACTCAACAAAAAAAAAAACATTACAGAAAAATTGAATGCAAATTTCAACACGAATACCTCAGTTACAGGTTGATTTTTAAAAAAATCTACTTAAAAACGTCCCAGAGGGAAAGAGTGGGGCAAGAAGACCCTCCTTTAATCTTAACTTAAAAATTTCTTAGAGTAACAAGTATTATTATAAAAATTATACTTGAATTGAGACAAAATCTGTTGTAATTGGCTGCTTTATACAGCGAAATGCCAGAAAAAAAATCAACTCAAAATTAAATATACATCCAATGAAATTACCAAAATTAAATAAAATTCTTCTTTATTATTGACGAAAATTTATTATTATCAAAACTATTTATTAATATAATTTACTATTATTAAAACGATTATTAAAAGTACATACTTTGTAAAATAAAATAGCATTTTCTTTATAGATCAAAGTAATTTGTTAATGTATTATATTTAAATTTAAAAGTAAATAATAAAGTTTTCCGGAAATTTTCTGTCGGTACTGTATATTAATATTTAATGAAGAAATAATTTTTTTGTAATGCTGCAAATTAAATACCCCATAGAAACATAAATTTTATTTAACGGAAGAATTTTACATTAATTACAGTAGCTGACTTTTATGATAACATTTTATTTTTAATATTTTAATGATTAATCTAATCACTTTCCCAGGTGTTTGGTAGTTTCACTATGTACTTACAATCATCGATTTCACGTATCACTATACATGGAGCAACTACTTCATTACTAGGTACAAATATCAACTCTGATGTAGATTCGACAAAATTAATATAAGTAGTGTTTAATACATTTTTCTTTACTTTCAGCTTCCTTACTATTAGTCCGTTGATTCTTTCACCATCCTTTTCTAGTTCAATAATATCTTCGATACATCCAAACCTTACATTTTTACAGTAAACATAACTGTTACAAAATTGGGTATCAGGATTTTTGTCTATTCTACGATAATGTATATTATTAATTCTTGCGTCATCGTATGATGTACAATTAGCTGTAGAATATTGTGGAGGAATACATGAATGTACACTATCTGTAGAATTTCCTTTTGCGATAAATGATCTGTCATTATCATCAAAATGAAATGATGGAAACAAAGAATTAAGATATAATTTTGTGTCAAAACTGACAGAATCTTCATGTGACATATTACATATGAATTTCATAATACAAAATCGGTTGACGACTTGGAGTACACGGTCTTTTGGACTTATGATACATTCCATTATTCGATGATTCCAAGACTCAAACGTGAATGCATTATGAGCCCACATAGGTCCCCAATTCCGTATGGTTTGTGGTAAATGTTTCAATAGATGAACATTAAAAGTCATATTTTCAATGCCAAATAATTCTTCAAATTGCTCAACATATTGATCTAATAATATTTCTGCATTATGAAGCTCCTCGAGTGTAATTGATGCTTGATTGAGGTAATAAATTGCTTGAGAAAGTAAAGCGAAATGTTTCATATATTTACTTTCTAACAATCCATCGAAGCAAACTAAAAAATAATATAAAAGCCAATTACGGAATTCCGACGCTTTAAAATTTTTGATTTCTCCGATTGGCCGTGGTAATCTTGAAATTCGCGTAGGAGGTTTGATAGCAGCTGTACGTCCATTGATATGATTAAAAAATTTAGAATCTACAAGATCCAGTAGTAATAGAATGTGCTGTCTTACGACTCCTAAATAAACACTGTGCATGCATTCTACAATTCGTCCTTTCGCCAGATTAAATTTTGGAAAAGATATACTAAGATATAATAAGATATAATAAGACTAGATATACCTTTTACACCATTAACTTTTTTATTATCTTTAAATGCTTTTAACATACCAAGTCTTAATTCTTTATCAGTACGAAGTCGAATTTGTTCGGATGCAGGATAATATCGGACAAGTTGATTATTATCTGACGTAGAACCCCTTGAATAACAATATGTACAACCAAAGTCACCATTAAATTGCGTCATCCGTAAAATTGGTGGTCGAGCAATTGAATCCACACTGCACATAAGAAGTACAAATTTACTTTCAACTTTAGTCCCATCGGATTTTAGCCACTGAATTCCCTTCCTATATAAGTCATTTAACTCCGACATACATTTAACAAGAAAATTGTTCATTACTGGTTTATCAAAATCACAATATATGCCTGCGAGCAACATGTGTCTTTTGCGTGCGTGTGGTGGTAGTTCATTAATTTCCAGATAGACAGGCCACGCACTTGCTTTAGAAGAATTCGAAACACTACAGCCATCAGTGTTAAGAGTAAAAGACATATTATTTGGATTGCTTAAAAATTCACCCGATGAACATAATTTCTGATATTCGCACCCATCATAAATATCTTCTAAAGCATTTTCATTTATTTTTCTGCGCGTATGTCGGTAGAGAATTGATTTTGAGATATTTGGAATCGATAGTAATTGGTGCAATTGAGGATAAAGTTTTAATTGAATAAAATAAGATACTTTGGAATCAAGGCCTCGACATGTTTCGCTTGTACATTTTTTATAATCAGTTGTTTTTGATCGTTTCAGTTTTTTATGCAATTCACTATCATTTTTTGTTGCCTTTTCATTACTTCCAAGAGGACTCGAACACCTAACGCAATAGTAGTGGCGAACATAATTCAAATCATTTCTTGATAATAGCTTCCATAATTGCTCTTTTGAATTGGGTAATTGAGGAATTGCAGTCGTTGAGTTCATCCATTTAAATTCTGATAGAATGCACTCATAAGGGAGATTATATTTGGCTAATCTTCCCATAGCAGCAACTAAATAATCATTACTGGAAACGTTTTCCTTAAAAGCTAAAGGAAATAATGCAGATTCATTAAATTGATTGGTACTAAAAGATGGTGTAATCTCGATTTCTTCAGTATCTTCTAATTCTTGACTTAATTCATTTAACAAATGTTCATTAATTGGTTCATCCACAAAATTCCGTTCGGCAGGATCTATATATATATATATATATATATATATATATATATATATAGGATTTATGTTTAAGGAAAATCACTACTTAATTGATAAATTCAAAAGAATTAAATATTAAAGTGATATTTATTGATAACAAAATATGAGGAATAATTATACAGAGTGAAAACGTGCGTGACGCGGTTTTTGTTGCTCGAGACTGTATGTATATGTGTGTATGTGAGGCTCGCGCCGGCGGCTACACACGAATCTCGCCGAAGTCACCCGAGTGGGACTCAAAATTTAGTGTAGCTGTCGCTACAAAAATTTCCTTCTTAAAAAAAAATAATTTTCTGTAGTTGACGACGAAGTATTTTCCATGCCTTGACACGACTTCAAATGGACCCTCGTACGGTGCCGAGAAAGCTGGTCCAATTTGATCGTTGCGTACCAATACGTGGGTGCATGTAGCCAGGTCTCTGAAACAGAAAACAGGCTTTTTTCCATGAGGCGCTGTGTCGGCCGGTGCCAAATTATGAAAATGTGTTCTCAGGTCTCGTAGGACATTTTGAACGTCGGCGTGCCTATTTGATGGGACTATTAACTCACCTGGCAGGCGGATTGGCTCACCGTATACTAGTTCGGCTGGTGTAGCTCGAATGTCCTCTTTCCAGGCGGCTCGCAGACCGAGGAGTACTGCGGGTAATGCGTCGAACCATGTGTCGTTGTGACACAGCAATGCGGCCTTAAGTTGCCTGTGTAGACGTTCTACCATTCCATTGGCTTGTGGATGACCTGGGGTTGTCTTTAGGTGTTTTACGCCGAAAAATCTCGTCATCGCTTGGAATAACGCAGCCGTAAACTGCGTCCCTTGGTCTGAAGTGATCCTCAGTGGTACGCCGTATCTGGCTATCCAGTTCTGGATGAGCGCGAGCGCTACAGTGTCAGCGTCGCCGTTCTTCAGTGGAGCAGCTTCCGGGAATCGTGTGAATCTGTCGATGATGGTGAGACACTTGGTGTATCCGTGAGATACTGGTAGAGTAACCAGGTCGATGTGGATGTGCTCGAATCTCTGCGTTGGAAGATCAAAACGAGCGAGTGGTGACGACACGTAACGATGGACTTTGTTGAGCTGGCAATCTAGGCAGGCTTTGGCCTATTCTCGACAATCTTTTCTCATTGCCGGCCAAACGTATCGTTCTGTGACCAGTTTTATCGACGCTTTGGCTCCAGGATGAGCCAGGGAATGCAGCGAGTCGAAAACTTGCTTCCTAAGAGGACCAGGGATGTACGGTCTTGGTTTACCTGATGAAACATTACAGTATACCGAGATTGGGTAGTCCTCGAATTTGATTTGTTGCCACTGGATCGCCAAATTTTGGTCATTGCGCAGGTCTTGAAGTTCTGGGTCTCCGCGTTGCGCGAAAACTAACTCCTGCGTCGTGATAGGTGTCGCGATGGCTTCGACTCGGGACAACATGTCGGCGACGACGTTCTCGTGACCGGAAACATGATGTATGTTGGTCGTGAATTGTCCAACGAAGTCCAAACGACGAAACTGCCATGGCGTGGCTCTCTCTGTGCGTTGCTGAAACGCATAAAGCAAAGGTTTGTGATCAGTGAAAACTGTAACGTGCTTACCTTCAAACATGTGCCTGAAATGGCGCACTGCTTCGTAGACTGCGTGTAGTTCACGGTCGTAAATCGATAATTTTTGGATCGACGGCTGCAGCTTCTTGCTGAAAAAGGCTAACGGTTGCCATTTGCCGTCTACGTGCTGCTGGAAAACTGCTCCAATAGCAGAGTTAGATGCGTCGGAGAATATCGCCCATGGTGCTTCGTCATCCGGGTGAGCAAGCATGGCTGAATCAGCCAGGGCTTGCTTTGCCTCCTCGAAAGCTTTTTGGAGCTCAGGTATCTCGACGATTAGCGTTGAACTTTTTATTTTTGGACCTTCGAGCAGCTTGTTCAGCGGTGCCAGGATATGAGCTGCGTTTTTGATGAATCTCCTGTAAAAATTAATTGTACCAAGAAAACCGCGCAGAACAGCAATTGTGCTCGGGAATTTTAGATTAATAATTGCGTCTACCTTCTCAGGCAACGGCTTGATACCTTTTTCGTTGATCAGATGACCAAGGTACTTTACCTCAGGTTGACCCAGTACACATTTTGCGACGTTGACTACGATTCCGTACTCCTCAAGACGTTTGAAAAGCATGTCCAGGTGCTCCAGGTGCTGTTCCTCGTCGTCTGATGCTACGAGGAGGTCGTCGATGTAGGCAAATACGAACGGAAGATCTCTCGCGACCTCGTCGATGAAGCTTTGGAAAGTCTGTCCGGCATTTTTGAGTCCAAACGTCATGTACAGGAACTCGAATAATCCGAATGGTGTGATTATCGCAGTTTTCTCGACATCTTCTTCGGTGACTGGTATTTGGTTATACGCTTTTGCAAAATTTATAACAGAAAATACCTTTTTACCTTTCAAAGCTGCTGCGCAGTCGATAAGTCGTCGGATCGGGTACTTGTTGTCCACAGTGCGTGCGTTGAGTGGTCTGTAGTCGCCACACGGTCGCCATTCTCCTGATTTCTTGGGCACAAGATGCAAAGGAGATGACCAAGCACTGGTTGATGGACGAGCTATTCCGAGCTATTATATATGATTATATATAACCTCATATACAATTCCATATATAATCATGTATGATTATATATAATTTTATATACTTATATATATTTGTATATGGAACTATATATAATCCTGCATGGTTGTATATCGCTCCATATATAGTCATATATAATTATATATGATTATATATAACCTCATACACAATTCCATATATAATCATGTATGATTATATATAATTATATATGATTATATATAATTCTATATAATTATATATGTGATTCCATTTATATAATCATATATGATTATATACAATTATATATGATTATATAGAAACATTTTTTCTCGGGTAGCTATCACCCGCCCGCTCCGCTGGGCATTTTATAGAATTGTATTTTGAGATCTAGACTTGAAATTCAATCGGAGTATTGTTTTGACTTGCACAGATTCCAAATTCTATTGGATTGGCCTGAACCTTTTATCCATGTCATCATTCTAGCGAATATCCATTGTAACTTTCAATGTCCAATCACTATAACATTCCCGTGGCTTTCTCCAAAAATAAATAATAATTTTTGGATTTACGATTTTAATATTTGATTTTACTAAATCTCTTAAAATGAGTAGCCAAATTTCTTTTCCACATCTCAAGTGTTCAGAAAATGTATTCATTTTAATCTGTTACATTCCCGTGATCACGTAATAAAAACAATTCATCGGTTATGTGATCAGCAATAATAAAATGTATGCAAAATACTCAATCCGTTGACTATATAGCTACATGTAAAGTTAAATTTTAGAAATCTTACAATGACTTTCGCCGCTGCCAAAGAGACGATTGTCGTAAGAAAATATAATTATTAAAAAAGAAAAATATTTTAATCTGTTGACCTTGGAGGCCATCCCTATAATTACCTGTTTCTCTTGAGATACTATGAAATTTTATATCTGTAGAAAATATATTTGAAGAATATGAATTTTTTGACAACTATCACTCCCGCACTCCTTTGTGAGAGAGAAATTTCGTAAGATCCTATTTGAGACGATTTTTACATTATAAATAGAATATTCCAACAAAACTTCGAGCCCATAGAAACTATTGTTTTGAAAAGAGAGATTTTCATCATTAACGCCTTAGCAGTCCCTTTTGAGGTTGGAATTTGATAAAATCCATTCTTAGCTGAACTTGCCATGATACACGAAGACTCCCACCTAATTTGAAGTCTGTCGAAGTTACAGTTTGGAAACGAAAATTTTAGATTTTAACACCCACCGCCGTAATATCTATCGGAAATAAACTTTATTGAAATTTGTTTTGAAATGATCTTTACCGGAGAAATAAAAGATTTCTACGAAAGTTATAGGTTCCAAAAGCTATATTTTTTAAATGAA